AACCTGCGAATTCCTTGATATTCACAGAACCTTCTGAACTTCTCCAGCATAAATTCTCCACCTCTATCTGATCTCATTGCTTTGATGTAGTGGCCACTTTCATTCTCCACCATCATCTTGAACTTCTTGAAAGCTTCAAATGTGTCTGACTTCTGCTTTAAGAAGTATACCCATATCTTTCTACTGTAATCATCAATGAACAATAGGAAGTATTTGTTCTTCCTGAACGATGTTGGGGTGATCGGTCCACAGAAATCTGCATGGACGAGCTCAAGTGGTGCTTTAGCTCGTGATAGGGACTCCTTCGGGAAACTTGCCCTGAATTGCTTCCCAACTAAGCATCCTTCACACAATTGGTATGGATGATTGATCACTGGCAGACCGTGCACCATCTTCTTCTGACCGAGTAACTTTAGACCTCCAAAATTTAGATGGCCATACCTCAGATGCCATAGCCATGTAGTGTCTTTCACACATGCTTTCAAACACTTCGCCATTTCTGTCTGAATGTTCAGTGTGAACATTCTGTTTTTCGACATTGGGACTCTTGCCAACAACTGCCTATTCTCATTTAGCATCTCCAATTGACGATTCACCATGTGGACTTCATAATTCTTCTCCATCAATTGACCCAAACTCAAGATGTTAGTCATGTCTGGGACATAGTACATATCACTGATAGATTGTTGTGAGCCATTCTTGAGCCGGATGAGTATAGTTCCTCTGCCTTTGATAGGAACCTTCGAGGAGTCTCCAAATACGACATTTCCTTTCACTGACTCATCCATATCCACGAACATGTTTCTTTTTCCACACATGTGGTTGCTTGATGCATTATCCAGATACCACATGTTATCTCTCGGTTTTTCATCTCCTTGATGTGACAGCATCAATGTGTCTTTGACTTCTTCTTGCACGTTGTTTGCCGTCTCCTCTACTTCTTTAGACGGACTCCAACACTCCGATGCATAATGCCCGTACTTCGAGCAATTATAGCACTGGACGTTGGATTTATCACGACCTTCATTTGATTTCCAACTTCCTCTTCCACGTCCACGACCACGACCTCTGCCTCTGGTGGACGTTTCATAATTGTTCGTGGTGAAATTTTCTCCATCTCTACTTTGATATGCTCCTCGGGCTCTTCCTCTTCCTCTGCCTCTATAGCTGCCTCTGCCTCGACCTCTGTACTGACCTCCTCCTCGGGCACCTTCTTTCTCTTCAGTGGTAGCTTTTGTAGCTAACACTTGTTCTGACGATTCTTCATTTCTTTTATTTAATCTTTCTTCCCTTGCTTGCAATGAGCCGATGACTTCATCCACCGTCATTTTTGACACATCCTTAGCTTCCTCCATGGCCACCACCACATAATCGAGGTAATAATGACCGTAGAATTTTCTCCACCAATTTGGTCTCTTCAATTTTCTCCCCATATTGCTTCAGTTTGCTGACGACTGACTTCACACGGGCGGTGTAATCTGAAACACATTCACCTTCCTTCATTTTAATAGCTTCAAAATCTCCCCTTAGTGTCTGAAGTCGAACCTTCTTTACTGGTTCTACGCCTTGCATTTCCTTTTGCAGAATTTCCCATGCTTCCTTTGCTGTGGTAGCATCTGCTATTTGATCGAACATCGATTCATCAAGACACTGATGAATGAGAGTGAGTGCTTTCTGATCACTCTTTCGATTCTTTCTCAACACCTCCTTTTCAGCAGGAGATAACCGAGAATCCTCCACGGGAATCTCGTAACCTTTTTCGACAATATCCCAAGCATCTTGGGATCCAAGCAAGGCTTTCATACGAATGCACCAATTTTTATAATTGGTTTTGGTAAGGTGGGGGAATTGAATGGGGAAAGTGGATTTTTCGGCCATGGGACAATAGTGATAACAATAGCACGAGAAATTCTTTTCTGATGTGGAAGTTCAGACTACGCCGCAACCACAGAGCATATTCTGAAATAACTCGGGCTCTGATACCACTTTGTTGGAAATAAAATAAATTATTTCCTTTGTATTATTTTGTGGGCTTGGTTATGACAAAAGAAGTGGAGAGTTGGTTATGGTGGGCACGTGTAGAAATATGGAATGGGAATGGGAAGCTTTTGGTTGTTTTTCTATATGGGAAAGAAATGGAAATTTTGTAGGGAGTGAGTAGGCAGCAGAGGGATTTTATGAGGAGAGTTTTTATTTATTGGTTTTTGTTCTTTCTTTTTCTCTACATCTCCGGTACAAATACACAAGCCTATTTATAGGCATTACAAAACAAAATATCAAGGCCAAACTGCCTTTACTTGTGGTTAGTATTTTTTTCAGTTGTTTAACCTATAATAATTCAACTAACCAACCACCACATTTAATTAAGTTTCTACACAACTCCACACACCCACGGTTCTAGCTACTTCCTGATTTTTACTTTTATTTTTTAATTAAACTTTAATTATTTCAACAAAATATCCACCGCCGGGGTCGGCGATGTTGATTTGATCAATGCACCTTTGACTTCTAATCAAACAACCGTTACTCGGTTCACCACCTCTCCAAACTACGTTCGAACGAGGTGTTCAACGAGAAACGAGAAACCAAACCGGGAGTGTTCTAAGTTACGTTACCTCTACTCCTATGGAGGTTCCTCTGGAGAGCTCCGCGACTACGACTACAAGCTACAATCTACGACTCTGCAAAGGAGGTCTTTGACAGAGCAGTTCTACAAACTAGAGAGAAAAAAGATAAATTCTGCGACGGTGCAGTTGTGATTTGATTTTGCCGTCCTGAGCTTCTCTCTCTTCTCGATCTTTATACCCCGATCTTCTCCAGTAGTCGTAGTAACCGCCTTCGCGCCGTTGTCTCCCACGTTCGTCATTCCTGTCAACTGCAGATAACTCCCTCCTTGTTGCGTAACTCCCACGAGTACGAAACCGCCTGGACACCCGGGAACTTGGCCAAAACGACACTGACCCAAAATCGACAATCCTCCACCACGGTTCGATCCTCCAAACAACGCTGTCCACATGATAAACAAACGACATCGAGTCCACGACATCGTCAAAACTGAACTCTCGCCGCGACATTGTTTTTGGCTAACCAGTGTCGTTTCCTATCCTTGCGGTGTCGTTCCACGGAACAATGTTGTTTCTACACCGTTTATGTGAAATTTCTCACGACATTGTTCTATATTAAACACTGTCATTTTCTATTCGCGGTGTTGTTAATACCTCTCGCGGCGTCGTTTTCAACTAAACGACACCGTCTAAAATAATCTTTAAAATATTAATTAATTAAACCAGCCATCATTGTTGACACGCCGTCAAACTCTCACTTCGCGACGCTGTTATTAATTAAACAACATCGTTTTTTAGTTCTGCGATGATGTTTAACACTGTCATTTTAACCATTGCGGCATCGTTTGGCCTACTCGCGGTATTGTTTTATAATCCGCGGTGTCGTTTCTTTCCTCTTGCGGCATCGTTTTCAACTAAACAACACCGTCCTAAACACTCATTAAAATATTAATTGTGATCAATCCGGTCATCCCTAGTCAAATTCGCGTGTTGAACAACGACATCATTAGCGCCAAAACGGTTCTGTTTGCTTTTCCTTTCGCGACATTGTTTGTTATTTTAAACACTGTCGTTTGCTAGTACAACGACATCGTTGGGCCTACTCGCGGTACTGTTTTGAATTAAACGAAACCGCTGTTATAGCAAAAAAAATATTAATCCATGGAACCACCGCCAGTCGGCGCTCGCATTGTACTAGGCAAATTTTGGTCACTTACCCGATATGGTTTTTAATTAATCGGTACCGCTTATCAGGCTATCGCGGCATCGTTTTTAAATCCGCCGTACCTTTTTAACTCTCCGCGATACCGCTTCTTTCCATGCGGTACCGATTTTCCCCTTCCAACAAGGAAAAAATAATAATTAATAATAATAATCAAAACTCATTTCCCAACACCAATACCAAACGCGCGGCCCACATCTTGCTTCTCGGTAAACGGTGTCGTTTCCAGCGTCGCGGTTCCGCTAAGCCTCCTTGCGGCACCGTTTTAATTATCCGCGGTGCCGCTTGTCTCCATGCGGTACTGCTTCTCCCCTTCCCACAAGGAATAATAATAATAATAATAATAATAATAATAATAATAATAATAATAATAATAACTCCTTTTCCAACACCAATACTACGCGTGCGGCCCCATCCTGTTTTTTGGTAAATAGTGTTGTTTCCACTGTCGCGGTACCCGTGAGTTTCCTTGCGGTACCGGTGAGCTTCCTTGCGGTACCGTTTTCCTGTTTCGCGGTACCGTTTTAACTCTCCACGACGCCGCTCAACTCCAAACGACACCGTTTTTTACCTGCGGTATCGAACTAAATGCCGAGACTAATTAATGTGGCATTTAATGTAGGCCAAATTAATTTTAGGCGTCAACAAAAAGTTTGGCTATTTTTGGTGTTTAAAAAAAAAGGTAATGACTATTTATTAACCAAATCTTATTTGGATTCTTTTTTATTAGCCAAACCTATCGAAATACTAAAAATTAGCCAAATTTTAACTTCATATTAATAATTTTGTTAATAATATTAATTTGACATCATGATACTGACTTGGAAGACCCACATTAAGGTCAACTTCCAAAATTTTAGTATTTAAACTAAAAAAATAATTACTAAATAATTAACGAAAACATAAAAATAACTAATATTTTGATGCATCACAAAAGATTTGTCTAACTAATAGCATTTTAATATGTTTGAATAATATAAAAAAATCTGAAATTTTTTGGATAAAAAATAAATATTACCCTTAAAAACAATTATTTGAGCTACATAGTTTGGACTTTAGATTGTTTACTCTGGGCTTGGCGGAGGTTAAAGCCCAAAACATATCTCTTGCAGCAACAAAGGAAGTTGGCGTATTTGCAAGGCTCGACGAGGTAACTGATCAAGAAACCCTAAAACCGTCGTCCATATAAAAATGCAAACCACGAATCCACGACCTGCAGTCAGTCAGAAAACTTCGCTATTTGGAACTCCCAGCGGCCATTGTAGTACGAAGGAACCACTCTTACTGGTTTCCTTCCCCTGTTATCTGTCTTTTTTCTGATTTTTATCATTGGGGATCTCCTATTTCTTTCTGTTTAATTGGGCATCTCATCTATCAATATGTATCATTCTCTGTGCCGCAAGATAATATCAATGGCGCAGGGGATACGGAGAGATGCGAAATTGAATCTCTTTGGTGCTCATGGACGAGCCGGATTTTTGTCTTGACTGTTGAATCCTTGCTTTTTCTCGTGAGTTTCCACATCTTTTTCTCTCTCGATCTGCTGGCTTGTTTCTTACAAAATTTTCTGCTGTCTAAAGTGCTCGATGATGATTTATTTGCTTTAACCACACTGAATAGAGAAGCTCGAAGGTGGGAGCGGAAGTGTGTTGGATTGAAGTCTGCTTTTTTCTCTCGGCTGATTCCAGTTGCTTCACGGTAGCTTGATGAAACTTCTTTCTGGGTAATAGAGGTTCGAGTTCTCTCAGATCTCTGTGTCTCAGAAAGAGGAAGAGAGCTCTTTGAAGCACTTGAAATCTGTTTTGAGTGAAAGTGGTTTTTGTTTTTTTCGCCCCTGTTCTTCGAGTTGTTCTCACCCTGTGGACAAACACTGGCCCTTGACTGAGAGCACAAAAACGATGGGACCCAAAATTCCATGTCTGGATTGATTTTGGATCTACGATCTGCTGTATGCCTTTTGTTGGATGATCTTATTCTGTATTGTTTCTGTTCAGTTTCCTCCATTTTCATGATGGTACTAATGATTAGTATTTGTGCACAATACTGAGGCTCTGGGTATTATTGATGTAGTGACCCAGTTGCCTATTCTTTAAGTGCAAGATGAAGTTTTCTGGGATCCGCTTTGCTGCAAAAGCTTTGTTGTTGGTATTTTTGCTGCCTGTAATGCCCGCACATGTCTGATAATCGTTTCTTACTCAGGAAGTGTCTTCTTTCTCTCTTTGGTTGAAAGGTCTGCCCTTTTGCATATGATTGATGCAGAAGGCTGGTTTCTGGGACTCAACTCTGTACATCAGTGGGTATTAGTAATTGGTCATTGGATCCATTGATTAATGGTTGCTGCTGCATTATCAATTGACCACCAACTGCTATTTTGTAACAGTGCTCGTCCCTTGGCGAAATTGCGTTGTTATTCTGTAACAGGGGGGCATTGTTTTTGTTCTAGAGCCGTGTAATTAGCAGTCGGGGTGCGTCTCTCTTTCGACCTGCATTATTGTGTTGAGAGATGGATTTCTTGTATCCCCTGCTGTTTATTTTTGGTTTACTTCTAGATGTTCGAATACAGTAGCTTTTAACTTATTTCAGAGAATGGATTTTTTATGCGTCGTCAGATAGTTGATAATGTTCTTATAACTCATGAGGTGATGCATTATCCAAGGACAAGAGAACAGGGATGACCATTTCTTTTTACTTGGGGTTTTGTGTGAAATGGATTAAATGATTAGTGTTTCTCACCACCGCTTCTTCTTCTCCTCCAACTTCAATCCGAAAACAAGACTCAAAGCTCTGCTTCAATCTAGTCATCACATCTCTCATTCGGTGATTTCTCCTCCCCCTTCGGCTTGCGAAAAGCCTTCACCACTTCATGCCATCGATTCCAGCAGCTCCCCTAGTTGCTATGAAACCCTTCTTTGGAACTCCCTGCCATCTACGGTGAAAGCTACAGAGACTGCAAAGGGATAGATCCCTTTACCAGATCCAATGGAATGAAGAGAGGCTCTGAAATGATGGTTCTCGTCCAGATATGAAGTTTGTCATCTAGAATTGTGTCACCTACTGCTATTGTTAAAGCCATTTTTGGCTTGCATTCATTTAAGAAAATTAATTATGATTCATCCCTTTTTTTGAATAAAGGGAGGCAAGACGCTGAGGTTACAGCAAAGCTCTAAGGAGCAAATAAAGACAGAGGCACAAGGCCAGCCGCAGAGAAAAGAAAACTTTCAAACTAGCTGGTCTCATAATCAACTAGCTGGCCTCATAATCAATTTTGGGTCCGAATAACCATCCTAGGGAAGCTCACTCCCAACGTATCATCCGTGAGGATCCGACTTAATTCACTAGGTGGGTTGGCTAGTTCATGCACACCGAAGGGATAGACGAGGCCGTGCTTCGAGAGCCAGTCCGCGACTCTATTCCCCTCTCTGTATGTATGAACCAGTTGTACCACCCAGTCTTGAGTCAAGAGACGTCGAATAGCATTCAGTATCGTTGAGTGCGGATGGACCGGATCCTCCCTATTCTTTATCAAGTCAATGGCTAGCTTCGAGTTCGTTTCAAGAATGAGAAACTGAACACCATGATTGCGAGCCAAGATTAGACCTTGATGAATTCCCCATAGCTCCGCGAGGATCGCAGAACCGGTACCTATTTTGCAGCAGAATCCTCCTTTCCAGTTGTCGTTCTTGTCACGAAGAACCCCACCTGCCGTAGCTAAACCATTGATGCCTTGAGCAGCCCCGTCCGAGTTTAGCTTCATCCAACCGTTTGGAGGGGCCACCCATCCCACCATCTGATCCATTCTCTCGGGTTTACTGTTAATCTGCAGCTGCTGATCCGCTCTTTCCCATGCCTCAAGCCAGCTGGTCGCTTTAGTTCTCACATAGTTGCTAAATGATGATTCAACAAGCCTTTTCCCCCGAAAAATGAAATCATTCCTGTACTTCCAAATAAACCAGCAAACAAGAGCAAACAGACTTGGCCAATTCCCCTGACCGCCCTCACCTTCTGTTTCTTTAATGTTTCTGTAAAACCAGTCAGTATGCTCGCTCGTAAAGAAAGTTTGATGTTTCTGACCTGGAACCAGTCTCTCCCATATCTTTTTAGCTGCTGGGCAGTCCCGGAGGCAATGAATATTGGTTTCAATTGCATCGGAGCATATTGGGCACTTGTCATCATTTGTCAAATGTCGAACTTTCTGTTGCCAATTTGTAGATAGCTTCTCTTTCGCAGCCAACCATATAAAAAATCTGACTCTTTCCGGACAGTGTAGCTTCCAAATCCGTTGCCACATGGTTGAATGTTGCTGGTCTGGTTCCGGACATCTCGCTTTGTATGCAGAGCTTGCAGTAAACAGGCCATTGGCGGTGGCTTTCCAGAAGAGGGTATCTCTGCTGCTTGATAAGGGATCCAGCATGGTTGCACGGACTTTGTCTATGATCTCCTCAGGTAAGAAGTCTTCGAACTCGTGTAGCTTCCATCCGTCGTCTTCATCCCAGTAGTCCGCAACATTTTTGATTCTTTCCTCCATGGGAATTTCTTGATTGGCAGCCTCTATTAGGGGTATCTGCAAAATCCACACATCGGTCCAAAATTTAGTTAATTGCCCATTTTTAACATTCATAGCTGCACCTTTGCGCAGAAGGTCAGCAGATTGAGCAAAACTATTCCAAATGAAGGATCCTCCCTTTCTTTTACTGAGGATCTGAAGTCTCTGTCGATTTCCTCCATATTTGCTTCTCAAGGCTTTAGCCCAGAGCGTTGAATCCCCAGTAACGATCTTCCAGGCACCTTTGGCTAACATCGCTTGATTGGCAAGTCTGGTGGGTCGAATGCCGACTCCTCCTTGATCCCTAGGTCGAGTAAGATGCTCCCAAGCAACAGGGTGGAAATGGGTTTTCCCCTCTTCTTCTCCCCAAACAAATTGACGATTGATCCTGTCAATGTTTTTACAAACAGAAACTGGCAGTTTTTCTGTAAACATAGAATATATAATCATGGAAGAAGATACCGAATTCACAAGGGTGATCCTCGCAGCTACTGAGAGGTGCTTAGTTTTCCATGCTGCCAGTTTACTTTGAATCCGAGAGATGAGCTGTTGGTATCTTTCCTTGGTAATCCTGCCATTGATAGCTGAAATGCCTAAGTAACGCCCCAAGTCGCTTGTCAGGTTGATTCCGGCTCTCATGCTAAGCCTACGAGCCCTGTCTCTGTGAACGTTCGGTGATACAAACATAACTGATTTATGAAAGTTCACTCTCTGGCCAGAACTTGAGCAAAATTCTTCCAAGCAATTCCTTATGATGTCCACCTGTCCACCCTCCGCCTCTGCAAACAAGATTAAATCATTAGCGAAAAAAAGATGGGAAAGCTTTGGTCCATCCTTAGACATAGGAATTGGTTTCCAAAGCTTTTCTTCCACAGCTTGTTCAATACGATGAGCTAGCCTTTCCATACATAAAACGAAAAGAAAAGAGGACAAGGGGTCTCCCTGACGAACTCCTCTAGTAGGTCTGATGACGGAAGTGAGCTGCCAATTCCAATTTATTTTCATTTGATTTTTCTCCACGCAGGTCATTATCCTGCTAATCCAAGTGCTGGGAAGCCCAATTTCCCTTAGGGTATCACGCAGGAAACTCCAACTGAGACGAATAGGCCTTCTCTAAGTCTATTTTGATGACAATTCCTCCCTTCTTACCCTTCTTATTTCTAAGAGAGTGAAGCATTTCTTGCAGCAGGATTATGTTATCAGTAGTCTGTCTCCCCCGGATGAAGCCACTTTGGGTAGGCGCCACTAGTTTTGGCATTAGTGGCTTCAATCTGTTGGCCATAGCTTTAGTAATCGCTTTCAGAGCCACATTATTAAGACCGATAGGCCTGAATTGAGCTGGAGTTTCTGGGTGATCTACTTTAGGAATCAGCACGACAGTTGAATCCATCAGCTCTTCCGGGATGTTTCCTGATTCAAAGAATTGAGTAGCCATATCAGTGAGATTCTTCCCTACAAGGGGCCAAAACTTCTGGTAAAAGATAGCTTGATAGCCGTCAGGTCCCGGAGCAGACATTGGCTTCATCTCAAATATAGCTTTGTGTAGGTCAGAGATGTGAAAAGGGCGAAACAGACTCATTATCTCCTCTTGATTAAGTCGAGGAAAACTTCCTTTCGGCATCAGGTCTTCGTGATCCCCCTCCTCCTGTGTATAAAGCAATCTGTAGAAATCGACCACCATAGCCTGGAGTTGCTCCACATTGTCGATCCATTCACCATTGCTACCACGAAGAGTTAGAATCCTATTTCTTCTCCTTCTTCTAGTAGCTTGTTGATGAACGAATGAAGTGTTCTGTTCTCCAAGCCTCACCCATTTTTCATTGGCTCTTTGAAACCAAAAAACCTCTTCTTGAGCTAAAATCAGGTCGAGCTCTCTTTCCAGCTTTATTTGGAGCTTCAGAAGTCCAGGATTGAAGGAGTTGGCAAGCCTTTCAGTGATCCCCTGGAGCCTAGCACAAAGCCTTTTCTTTTTGCGATAAGTTGACCCAAAAACTTCCTTCTTCCATTGTTGCAATTTGTTCGCCATCTCTTTGAGTGAGTTGGTTAGCATTGCCTCTTTATCCCAATTCCCAGACATAAACTCCTTGAATTGAGGATGAAGTAACCAGGCAGCCTCAAAACGAAAGGCGTTGGAAGTGTCAACCCCCGCTTGAGTCCCCGTGTAGCTAGTTAGGATGGGGAGATGGTCCGAGTGAAATTTCGGAAGATGCTGAACTGTGGTGTTGGGGAAGGTGTGATTCCATTCATCGTTGCAAAGGGTCCTGTCGATCCAGCTGGCTCTATGAGTAGTCGTTGAGTCTCCTCTGAACCAAGTGAAACGCGGTCCTGAAAACCCGAGATCCAACAACATGGCTTCGTTCATCCAGTTAGAAAATCTTTGGCATCTCCTTAGGTCTTGCGAGGAGCTGGCTCCGTGCTTTTCGTCAGGAGAATATATAGCATTAAAGTCCCCTGTTATCACCCATGGAAGTTGCCAGTCTTTGCTGGTTTGAAAAGCTGCTGCCACAGGATGGAGTGGAATTTATACTTAGGGCTTCCATAAATACCAGACATCAACCAATCCGGGTGATTAGCTTTAGATACTTTCACAGTAATGTGTTGCTGGCTGGCATCCAAGAGGGTAATCGAGAAGCTCTCCGACCTCCAAGCTAACCAAATACCACCTGACCTGCCATTTGCATCAACGCAGATAACCTCATCAAACCCCAGCCTGCTACAAACAGAGTTAGCCCTCTCACCGCTGATCTTGGGTTCAAGAAAAATCAAGAAATCTGGTTTGTGAACATCCCTAAGCAGCCGGATAGCTCTTATGAATTTTCTCCCACCTGCACCACAAACGTTCCAAGAAAGAATTTTTAGGTTGGATCGATACATAATAAAGAAAGATGGAAGGAAGAAAGGAGGGAAAAGGAGGAGAGATTTAGATAGCGCTGGAGGGTTCGCTGGCGCTGGGTATTGATGCCACCAAACTTCCATCCGGTAGATTTCTTTCGCTGCCTTCACCGGACGCGGATTCCGACATCGATACGTCTTCCGTCTTCCCATCGGGTTCAATTTGATTGCACTCTTTCTGCTTCTGAGCCGTAATGAAGAATTCTTCGATGGCTTTCAAGGAGATGGGAAGGGAAGTAGAGTTTGGCTTCAGTTGACGATCCTTTTTCTTGGGGCTAAGAATTTGCAGCGGTTTCTTGTTGGCTTTGAGATTAACCCCTTTGGTTTGAGGACCAGGTTCATTCTTCTTTCTGCGGTAGTGATTTCTGATTGAGGAGTCAGTTTGAAAGTTGGGATCAATGTTCTCCTTTTGTTTGAGGCTCAGATCAGGCACGTTGAGGATTTGTATCTTGGTCTTGTTTGGGCCATTCAACACTTGTTTCGTTTGCACAGTGGGCTTTTGAAGTGGGGCCAGGCTATTGTCAACTCCAAGCTTCTTGGGTTCTTTGCTGGTGGAGGCCTCGTTGGTATTGGGCCCTATAGGACGCCATTCTTTTGTTATGGCTGTTACTTTGCTTCCACCATTAGCTCTTTTGGTCTCCGCTTCCTTCCCTTTCTGATTTCCCTGCTTTCCTTGTCTAGATACTACCTGCTGATCTGCCTATCCTTTTGTATCCCCTTTGCCAGCTCCTAGGTCAATATTCTGCTTCCCTTTTATGGAGCCAACATCTCGGGATGGATCCTGCCTCTTTCCTTTTGTTACTCCCTGGATGGGCGCCTGATTATTAGTCCCTTTCTTGTTCTGGCGGCGCGATTTACGCACAACCTGCATCCACGGGCCGTAGCCAGCTGGAGCTTCCGACGGTCTTGCTTCCGGCGTCGAAACGATTGTCTGCATTTCATTGTTCGCCGGCGCAAGGAGGAGCGCCGGTTGCTTTGATGGACAATCTTTTTCTATGTGTCCAATTCTTTCCGCATTCGTAGCATATAGTCGGTATATTCTCATACAAGACTTGCTGCCATGCACCATCCAGACGGATTCGAGTCGGTAAGGGCTTTGTCATATCAAGATCTATGGCGATGCGCGCAAATTTTCCCCTTTCTAGGTTCTCAGTGTGATAATCCAGCTTGACAGTTCTGCCAACAAGATTTCCAATAGCAAACAGCACCTTTCTATGATAAAAGTGAACTGGTAGTTCCGGGAACTGGACCCAAGCAACGACTGACCTGTGCGGTTTATCTGAGGTACGGAACGATGGTGACCATTGGTGGACCACTAGATAGTGATCAAGGATGACCCAAGGTCCTCCTGTTAACGCACGTAGATAGTCTTGATCGTCGCCAAAGGTTGCAAGGAAAGTTTCATTGTTTAGATCCATGATCTCGAGAGATCCCACCGGTTTCCACTTCCATCGCAGTTGGGCACATAGGTAAGAATATGAAATTGATCGGCCCAGCAAGCGAACAATCAGGGTTTTCTTCCATGGCTGACATAGCTTTTCTTTGAATTTGCTTGATAGTTTCAGCTCCGGTTCCCCTTCGAAAACCCCTGTTTCTATATCGTCCGCTCCCACAAATGTCCATTGTGCCGCTTTTCTTGATGTTTCTTGAGTGAGCCCAGCAAGTGCCGCCTTGAAATTGAGGTTTGGAGTCCCAACAGAGGCGACGGCTGGATTGCCTTCCAACGTAACACTTAAGTGAGAGTCCGGCGGACGCCCTGGCTGCTCTGGAATCGCCGGCGGGGGAGAAGAGGAAGAGGTGAGAGCAGAAGGCGAGAGCATTTTTAGGGTTATTCTTTTATTGCACTGTTTGTTGATTTTCCGAGTTGTTAATGCATATCTAGCTTATACGTTTGTGGTTGGATATAAGTAGGGATGAACAAACACACCCCGTAAACCAACCCACTCGTACAACCTGACCCAATCCACCCATAGTTATCGCTAAAATGAAGGTTTTGGGTTAGGTGAGTGTTTTCTTTTGTACAAACCGCCTCTATTGGGTTGGGTTTGGATTTTGGATTACACAACCCGTAGAACCTGATCCAACCCGTGTTCCAACTATTGGAAGGAGTTCGTATCCAAAAATATTTATGTCATATATAGCCACACTTATGCGAAAATTAAGATATTTTGCCATGTTTTTCTCTCATGGTCTCCCTAATTTAATATAGCTATGATTCACGTAATTCTTTTTCTTGTGTACAATTTTAATAGAATAACATATTACGGGTGCATTCGTTTATAACCTTTTTAGTATATTTCAACAAATATCGTGAAAAAAACTAGACATATGTTGAAGTAAATCACATTTTATTAAAACTGAAACAACATTTGTGAAATTTGATACATTTCACCTCCGTTTATTCGTTTGAAATTTAGTTATATAGAAAAAAAAAATAATGGAGTAGATTAATTATATATTTTGTGTTGGGTAGGGTTTTTACTTAAAAATATAGTCAACCCGACCCAACCCAATTAGGAACAAACCGTAGGGTTTAAATTTTTTTGGGTGGGTTTGGGTTGATATTTCTCAAACCGTAGTGCATGGGTCCGGTGATTAAAATGGTTAAACCCGAACCACCTGACCCATGTACACCCCTAGATTTAAGGGTTAATTGCATGGTTACATTGAGATTAAAAAAACTTTCAAGTTTTTTTTTTGCCAAAATATCACTTGTATTACCGAGAAAACAACTCGATACAAAAGAGTCACATAGCTGAAAATAACCAAGAAATGAAATTGAGCCCCGCCAAAGAAGGGGACAACGAAGGGGCTTTACTTGCCACCAAATGGACAACCTTATTAAACTTCCGACCCACAAAAATAACCCGAAACTCCTGGAACAAGTCTCGCATACTTCAAATCTCTTCCAACAACGTACCACCATGGACATCATCTACCTCACCCTCCGGGATCTTCCCCATGATCACTTGGTTGTCACTTGCAAAAGTAATAGAATGGAACCCATACGCAAAGCACCATCGAAGCGCATCCCGGAAGGCCAGTAGTTACACAAGAGCTAGCTCCGAAATCCCCACATACAATGCTGCTGATGCTGCCATCACCATGCCCGTGGGATCCAAAAGAGCCCAACCTCCCGCTCCATGAGAACCAGGCCCCGTAGCTCCATCCACGAACAACACGAACTCACCCAACGTAACATCCTCACGGCCCTAGCACTTGAGCCCCCTGAGTAATGGCTAACACCCCGGCTGTTAGGTATGTCATCCCACTTCGCAACCTGCAAACGAAATTGAGATAACAACACCAGAACAATGTACTCAGTAAAATCAAAGACCACCCAGTTTCGGGCCTTCAAAATACTTCAGAAAAGGCTATGACATGCATCAGGGCCCCCTGATCAAGCTCCCGCCACTCGCGTAACCTGCGCCAAAAGACCCCAACATTGCATTGGGGGAAGCGATCTCGAATGCCCATAAGCTCCGCCCTTTCCCACAACCCCACTGCTACTCGGCAGCGAAAAAAGAGATGTTCAAGAGATTCCACCTTCTCCCCGCAGACTGGACATTGCTCCAGTCCCCCCAACCCCCGAGTACCCAGTGCCTCACCAATTGGCAAGACACCGCGAACCATCTGCCAGAGGAAGTACCGCAATTTGGGAGGTATCGGAGACCCCCAAACCATTTTCCAGAGACTACGATCCCACACCTGTACTTTCGCCTTCACCCTTAGCTCCTTCTGCTTCCTTAAATTCACGGCTAAGTGAATTTAAGGCACCGGAGAAATAGGCAATGGAATAGTCAGGATAGCTCGAACAGTCTCCTCCTCAAAGATTTGGCGTAAGCAATTCACCCTCCAAACCCCTTGATTTGAACATATTAAAGATGCAACTGATCCCTCAACCCTAATGATCCCCGGACGAGGATTCGGGGGAGATGGGTGTAATGCTGGCACCCAATTATCCTTTAGCACATCTATCGACTCACCCAAGCCAACTTGCCATCGCAGACCTTGAACCAACAAATCACGTCCATGTAACACCCCTGCCAGCCCCAAGAGGGTAAAGAGGCAGCCTTCTCCTCGAGGATAGAAGAGTTGGGAAAGTACTTCCCTTTAAACAACCGAGCTAACAGAGAATTTGGCTCTCTCCAAATTCGCTACACCATCTTAGCCAACAAAGCCTAATTAAACTCCTCAAATCGCTGAAATCCCAAACCACCTTCATGTTTACTTAAGGACAAAGATTTCCAAGAAACCCCATGAATCCACCGCTCACGCTGCTTCACTCCCTACCAAAATCTAGCCAAATGCCTATCCAGCAAACGACACAGAGGCAGAAGGAGAAGGAAGCAAGCCATCACATATATTATGGGCAAAGCATTAGCAACAGACTTAATAAGGACTTCCTTAGCATCGGATGACAAACATTGCTGCTTCCATTGATGATATTTCAGTTTACTGAAACCTTTCACGTTTGGTCACTCTCCGTCTAATTTCGTTAACTTTTGCTTACGTGGCGGTCAACTTTTAAAGTTGACCGTTAAGTGAGTGTGTGGAAATTAAAAAATTAATAAAATAATAAAAAAACATGTATTACTTAGTGTTCCGTATTTGGTTAGAAACAAGTATTACTTACATAAAAAACAAAAATCAACAACTTTGTGTTCCGTATTTGGTTAGAAATTTATCTAATAAAAGACTAAAGAGACAATATCTCATAAAATCTGAGTTTGCACGCAATAAACCACGAATATTTGTAAAAATTAAATTAAAAAATAGTTAATAAATCAAAGATAAAATAGTTTAAGCAATGAGCTTGATATCCTCTTAAAATAATATGTAACACAATTTTAAATTCTTTTTTCCATTTCAATTTTCCTTCATTGAGATTTGAGAGTAAAAGTAGGTGTCTCATTTAGACATTTTTTATTTTTGTATTTTTTTAATTTTCACTTCAAGGAGATTTAGCAAAAAATGAAAAAGATAATTTAAAATTTTCAGATCTTTTTTTCAATAATCCAACCAAATCATTCCACATGATATTCTCTTATATTTCTCCAAGTTTTCTATTATTATAAGTGGATAATATATTTTTCTTTTAAATCCAAAATATTTCTAGCTTATATTAAAGAGCATAACATAAATAATAGAAACTCATTCAACTCATTATTTGTGAAACCATAACAGAAGTTGTATCATAATTCATACAATGATATTTACTATTAGGAATACAATCATGATATCATCATACCATATCAATATAATATTGTTAATAAATAAAATAATATATTCATTTGACATCATACCAGTTTAATGTCATCTGATATCATTGAGATTGTTTATATAATAACCTAAAATTATCTGACACAAATAATTTACAATATTTATAAATATTACTTTGAAATAAATAATTTAAGTT